TAAGAACGAACTTATCTTTTGTTTGATGTAAATGAAACTAATGGAATTATGGTATATATATTTCCATGCAATTGTATCATGTAACGTTGTAAGACAGGGATTTTAAATCTCAACCATGTATTTTGGGACTGTAATTATGATAATTTAGATTAATTGGTGTGTGGATGTTCCACCATGAGAGGAACTAAGTAAGGCATGGTGAATGGATGAAAGGGATGTTAGAATGTATTATATGTTTATTGTGCTTGGACAGGTTAAAAAATTCATTTAAACATGTTGTGGTAGGCCCATTTTTAGGGGAGGTTATGCCAATTTTTTTTAAAAAAATTTTGGCATCAGTTAGGGTCGTTACAGCCTCCGTCTTTATCTCCCTCCCCGGAGACACCTCGGTCTTTATCCCCTCCCGGCAACATCAACCTCTCACTCCCTCCCCGGTGATGTGTATATGCATATATCTATCTGTGTATATATGTGTAATATGTAAATTTACAACAAATATATATATATATATATATATATATATATATATATATATATATATATATATATATATGCCTGTGTATTTATGCCTGTGTTTATGTGTATATATATCTGTATATATATGTCTGTGTATATATGTATCTTCTCTAGTCTTAGCTTCCCTGACAACCACCAAGATGAAGAAGAAGAAGGGCCAAACCCTTTTTAGTCATTTCACAAAATATATATTTTTATATATATTATAAAATGTGTTGCTAATGGTATCTTAGTCCAATTTTTATAAATATGACCTATTTGCACAAATGTCATAGTTTAGGGGTGTTTTTTGCACTGGAGGGGTACAATATGCACTATATGCATACTATAGGGGTGTTTTTTGCACTTGACCCTATGTTATATTTAAGAATAATGATAGAGAAATCGAAAAGAAATCTCCGAATTAATATCGAATTTGACGTGATTGGTCATTCTTATCACGTATTAAATAATTATTTTTTGGAAAGATGAGGTGGATTAAAACACGTTAGATTCGGTACTTATTCGGGGTTAATTCATCGGCCTCCCTATCATTATTCTATATTTAATGATTGTATTTAGATTCATAATATTTTTCCTCAATAACCAAAATTAATTTTTATATATATATAAATATAATTATTTTTTATTGACATATCCTACTGTACATATACCTTCTCCTCCTCCTCTCTTTTTTTTTTTTTTGAGATTTACCATATCATGTTGTATCCGTATATATGTACTTCCTAGTCCGTCTAAAACCGTTTAGCAATCAACCTCACAACCTATCTTTGCAACCATTTTAAGTTTCTCACCTAGACCTGTTTAAATTCAAGTTCAAAAATTTTACTTAATTTTTCCCCTTAATTTAAAAAAAAAAAAAAAAAAAAAAATCATATTTAGAAATATAAACAACATAAACATTCTTTTAAAATTTATACCATTGTATTAAATAAATATTAACTTTCTTCCAACAAGAAGGATAATTTTGTATATAACATAAGCTATAAAGATAAAATGGAAAATTCTCAATATAAATGGAGAATTTTTCATCCGGGCGCCTGCGCTAGTTTTTTCTTTGAAAATTTATAATAGCCCAAATTTTTTAAAGTTAATTTAGGTAGTACAAATTTATTAGAATTAGTACTTCTTCCACGTGTGATCATTTGTACTTTGCATTTAATAAATTATAAGTGAAATATATATATATATATATATATATATATATATATATATATATATATATATATATCAATTTCACAATTTCACATGATATTAATCCTTTTTTGAAAAAAAAATTGAGAATCATTTCATTAAACAAAGTGGTTCACCTTGGCAAATTTGATTCTTAGAGTCAAATCCACTAAACCTAAATTGGAGTATTTGACCTTCTTGAATGTCTATAGTCGTTCAGACAAAAAAAAAAATACGTTAGCCCCATCAATTAATTTTTATTTATTATTGTTAATGTTAAAAATCAATGAAATTTGTTGAGTGAAGGATGCTGGTATAAAAGTGGGTTCCACAGTGGTCAATCAAATTTATCTTTCCTTAACCTGTAGCTAATCAGACTACTTGGAATGACTTGAAATGACTTAGTAATCCAAAAGCTTCAATGCTTGTTTTGGCTTCTGTTCTAATATGGGGTTTTCTCCCTTTTTTGTGGGTTGCTATTGCCATTTGTATTTTCTATTTTACAATTGCAATCTAACCAGTATTTGTGGGTTGTTTTGGCTTCAATGCTTGCGCTATTTTTTTTGGTGTGTTTCTCCCTGTATTGGCTTATTCTACTCACAGAGTAATTCGCAATTTGAGAGTGGGAATTAATAAAAGGCAAATCCAGCCATTCTAGGGTTTGATGAGGACTAATCCTATACCAAATTGAGTAGCGTCATTAGGTGAAAGAATTGTGAAATCCGTAAAATTACAAACAAAAATTGCGCTAAATATCTTGGTGCTTCAAACACGTTTTTTTGAATCATTCAAAACTGTTTTCCCAATGCTTCACAACTCGTTTACCAATTCGATTGTGCTGTTTTGGACATTTTTTTAGTTTGAAGATTGATCAGTTGACAATTTGGACTGAAAAAACGTTTATCTAATCCTGTGCCCTTTTCGAATTTTCTTAGTATACATTGCATGCATAAATAGCTCTTGCAGCTGTGTTGTTTTTTCTACCCTTCTTACCTTCTCAAGCTCTATAAATGATTAGATTTAATGTATCATCATATTTTATGCTTTTAGTTGCCAATCACCACAAATTGTTTCCTTGAGTATGGAATTCAATGGCTAATGATTTCCAACTTTCTGGGAAGGTGGCTATTGAGTACCATGTTCTTGTTCACTAAGACACCAACCTTTTCTTATTCCTTGACCCTTCCCAAACCCCGCATTGGTGGGAGTCTCGTGAACTAGGCTAGCCCATTTTTAGTGAAAGGGAATGTCCGCCTTGGCATCTATGGTTGACTTGGGATTTGGATCCTGGTAGAGGGAGGATTTACTCCAAAAAGACCAAAGGCACCTCATATGTACTTATGTAGGTCTTGTCTGATGTAAATTCCTGCACATTATTGTTCTCCCACTTCCAGCGCTTGTTATTGCATTTTTTTTTTGCAGTAGAATAGAATTTTGATACTATTTTGAAACAAATTTGATCACGTGTGTCCCAGTGTTACTAGTTACCAATTCGTCTATTGAATCATTCTATTCATTCTAAAACTGAGCCTATTGAAAGCAGTCATATTCAGGAGTTCAAGCCCTCATAGAGAGCTATTTGGTCCATCAACTCTCTTAGGAAAATCAATTTCTTCCTTTGGCTGTGTGCTCATGAGAAATTTCCAACCATACTCAATCTGAAATCTCGAAAGATAGTCTTTGATCCTAAATGTAGGGTGTGTGGTTTGGAGGACGAATCAATCTTGCATCTTCTGTTCTTATGTCCATCCTTTCAAATGGTGGAAAATTAGCCCATTTAGACTCGACTTCTCCTCCACGATGTCCAACTCGTGGAATCAACAATGGCACCTCATATCTGAGATTTGAAACTCTATTCCCAATCCAGGAGAGCACTTTAGCCTAGCTTCATTCATATGTTGGCAGATTTGGAAGGCTAGAAATGATTGGAACTTCAACTCTATCAACTGGGAACCTCCTGATATTTTGGATAGAGCTATAAGCAATTATATGGAGTTTGTGGAGGCCTGCAACCAAGATATTCAGCCCTCCCCACCAGTTCATTCATCCCTGAAGGTGGTGCCCTCCGCATGTGGGCGTCTTATTCGCATTGCGGCCCTGTTTTTCAGGGCAATTTCTAACCCAGAAGTAGCGGAGGCTTTTGTTCTCAAAGCCGTCATCCATCTTCTTCTTCAGTGGGACTATAGCTCTGTGGTGTCGGAGGGGGACTGTCTGAACGTTATCAAACTCACACCTTCTGCTGCTGTTTCAGCTTTGGTCATGGAGGATATTCGCTCTCTTTGTGCTTCTACCAGTGGGTTTTCGCTGGCTTGGACACCGAAATCTTGTAATGGAATTGCCCACCAGTTAGGTAAAATGAGCTCTTAGTCAAAAGCTTGGGGACCTTCATTGGTCCGTTAGGCCCTCGTGGCTTGTTCAAGCTATTGAGGCCAATGCCTCTTCTGTTTTGAGCCCTGTTGGGTAGTTTCTCTTTTACGTAGTTGAAAAAAAAATAAAAAAATAAAAAAATAAAAAATAAAAAAAGAGGAGGAAAAATTCTCCCTTTCCTTGCCAAGCCTAGGTCTACTTCACATTATTGTTTGATAAAGTATGTGGATTTGTAAAACTTTTATTTGTAGTTCAATGTCTGCTGAATTGCTAATTAACAAGATCAATTGCTATCACCCCACAGATCACTTGATTGCACTGGATGCTGGTGCACGGTTAGTTAATGATTGATTTAGAGCTATTATTGCTGTGGCTATTTATATGGATGATTTTATTTATTTATTATTACACATAAATCTATTTAGCTAAAACTTTTCATGATTAGCAAGAAACATGTTCAAGAGTTATCTTGAGCAAACCCTACCAAGGCTCATTCAATAAGTGAATATATGGTGTAGACTCGAGTTTGGTTAATTTAAGTAACATGAACTTAAGGTGAATGCTATTATGACCTGAGCCTGAATTGTTTACGAACAAATTAGCTCATTTTTGCATCCCTCTTGGCTCGGCAATTGTTGGGATTAGGCGAAAACAGGAAGCAAGGATTTCCAATAAACCAATGGCATGGTTCATGAAGCAAGGATTTCAAAATTAGCAAGTTTAAAAAAAAAAAAAGAAAAAAGAAAAAAATCTCACACACTTCTATCGGCCGTCTGCTTCACTCTCTTCAGTATCTGTCCAGAAGAACTAGCCAAACATTCGGGTCCCGCAGATTTGTCCTCATGCATACACACTCTGTACAGTTCAATGACATAAACCACATATATAAAACTATGAATATTAATTTGTTTATATATAATATATACACGTTCTCCTTCTCTCTCTCTCTCTCTATATATATATATATATATAAATATATAGGACCTGGACTGCACAAGGTATCCCATCAACAAGTTTTTAGTTTCCCCACCAAGAAAAGAAAAATGTTTGGAACAATTTCAGAAGAGATGGAAGTGCAAGTTTCAGCCACAGAAGCATGGCAACTCTACGGAACTCTTCGGCTAGCAAGGCTCTCTGAAGAAGAGCTCTCTGATGTCATTCACAAAATCGACATCGTAGAAGGTGATGGAGGTGCTGGCACAATCCTCAAAATAACATTTCCACCAGGTAATCAATCTGTATACACACACACAAACACATACTAGTGTGTCCAATTGAACGTATAAACCTTTTGTGTTATTACTTTAGACATTAGTATAATATGAGTTGAACGAACAGACTTACATCTGATATGTTTTTGATTGAAACTTGAATTAGGGACGCCGGTTTTTTCTTATTACAAGGAGAAGTTTACAAAGATTGATGATGAGAATCGAGTGAAAGAAGCGGAGGTTATTGAAGGAGCATATCTTGAAATAGGGTTTACTCTGTACAGGGTTCGCTTTGAAATCATAGAAAAAAGTGAGAATTCGTGCATAACCAAGTCCACAATTGAGTATGAAATCAAGGAAGAAGCTGCTGCTAATGCTTCACTCGTTAGCATCCAGCCACTGGTGAACCTTATGGAAGCCTCGGCCAATTATCTCCTCAAAAACAGAAAGTAAACTATGATATATATATATATATATATATATATATATATATATATATATATATATATGCCTCTGCTTTCAAATTTGTCAACCCTTTATCGATCAATGATATAAAATAAATTTCCAACTGTAGTTTGTTTGTTGTTGAGAAAGGATGAAATTAAGCCGATCTTGTTCAAATTTCAATTGTAGCTTGTTTCATTGTTTGGGATTAGCTATATATATATAGAGTTATACACACAAATGAATGGATGTGCATACTCGATTCCTATACATGTATATTAGATATAGAAAATGATTTTTAAACGGAGTTTCTAAGGTATTAGAAGAACTATTAGTTGTATTTTTGGAGGATTATTGAAGGATCAACGATACAAGTATCGTGAGGATTTTCATCTATATTCTATATTGTTTGTGGTTAGAGGTCACTGAAGTTTCAATTCCTAGTTTGAATCGCCCCGTTGTTGAGAAATTTATGTGTTACAATTAAATATTGTTTTTGTTGTAAATTAAATTGAAAAATCTATATATACACATGCATAAGACATACTATAAATCTATTTATTAAACATAACTGTGAAAATCATTACTTATTTCAGAATTGAGCTTGAACCGCTTTGGTTAATTATGTGCATTTTTTCTAGAGCCTTGGATTATTGAGTATTGGCAGACTACTGGTATATAATGTTAGATTGGTGAAAATTACCATTTCATTGAAGACTAATTTGCACAAGGTCAAATAAGTTCATAATAAATTTTTGACATCTATTTCATTAGAGAATAAAGATATATTCTCCAAATTGAGAAGATTTTTAAATTCCAGGATATGAGTAGGATGTGGATTCTATCACTAATATTATGGTGATGTCATGTAATGGAGGGTGCATATATATATATTTTTTTTCACATTTTTCTCATTTGGTGTGTTCTCTGAATTCGAAAGATGTATCATTACTCTTCAACAAGACTAACAAAATATTTATCAGTGTTAACAACGATACATCATATAAGAAAAAACTGTATTTGTTATAAGACGAATCTACAAATCTATAAAACATTGTTAATTTACTTTTAAAAAATAAAATATTTAAAAAGAATAAAAAATTTTGCCTCCCAGAATTATAACTTATATGTCTAAATTTGTGCAACTTTGTTTTTTCCCTTTAACTTCATATGAGAAAAATTAAGATGCTCAAGTAAATATTAATGTTTTTGCCTCAAAAAAATTAAATTGAAATGAAATCTATGCAAATCAATAAGGATAAGTTTTTCGAAGAGATAACAACACTACTAAAAACCAATTCCTCTAACATGATTACATTCGAAATTTGTTGAGTTCTGAAATGGGTGCACTAGCATCGTCACATTGAATTATTGAAACCTTTTATACACATATTTATCCATATACTAGTATAATATAGATATATAGACATAAATATGTGGTTGAAAACTACCATAAATTGTTGCGTCTCATTAACCGGGAATGGCAAATCAAGAGATCCAAGTGTTGAAAGCTTGCAGAGTTGATAATTTATCACAATAATTACAATGACGTACGCTAAACTGGCTTGGAGTGGCTTGATGTGACTTTTCATATAGATATATAGTCCCACATTGATTACATAGAGAAAGTCTTTACACCTAATATATGAGAAAGTTACAAGAGACTAGTGCGGCACAAATCGAGAAATGGTCCAAATTTTTTTTTGACCATTTTTGCCATCGATCCCAACATTTACTTTTACTAAAATACCCTTGTTATTTGTTACTTTCCCACCGAACCCCTCTTTCTTTTCACGTGTCAGGCTGTCATATTGAGACTCACCAGAAGCTTACGATGGACTGCAACTCCTCCAAATTCCTCGTTTGGCTATGTCTCGCAGCAAATTCGAATTGCAACCATGTTACGAGTTTGAAGTTTCATCGATTACTCTGGTAAGTGCTCTGTTTCTTTCTCTCTCTATAATTGTGATTTATGTATGTAAATGTGTAGATATATATGTCATTATGTCAATCTGGGGTTATTTTGGTTTCTGTTTACGTCTTGGGAAAGGGTTAGTTCCTTCTAAGTTTCAATTCAAAAGCTTCAATGCGTGTTTTGGCTTCTGTTCTTATCTGGGTTTTTCTCCCTTTTTTGTGGGTTGCTTTTGTATTTTCTATTTTCTATTTTTTGGAGTTCTTTTTTAGTTCTCCATTCCTTTTTTCCTGCTATGCTTGCATTATTTTTATTTATTTATTTATTAATTTTTTTTTTTTTTTTTTTTTTTTTTTTTTATGTGTGTGTGTTTTCCTATCATTCCCAAATTGACAGTAGTGGACACTAATCCTATCCAAATTTAGCTCTTTTTATTTATTTATTTATTTTGAAATAAAAAGAAAGTATTGTTTTAGTTTGAAACTTGATCATGGGGGTTTCCTCTGTCCCAAAGCATTGCTCATCCTCCCTTTCCATGCCAAGCCCGAGGTCTGCTTCACATGGACTTTAAACTTTTTTGTGTAGTTCAATGTCCGCTGTTTTGGTAATTAACAAAGTTCAATTGCTATCACCTCGCTGATCACTTGATTGCTCTTGATGCTAATCATGAAGGGTTAGTTAATGATTGATTGGGAGCTATTATTGTTGTGGCTAGATTTTATATGACTGATTTTATTTTTTATTTTTAATTTTTTTGTTCTTTTTCCCTTTTTCTTTTCACTCAGAAAGCTACTTAGTTGAAAGAGATCATGGATGTGCTTTTTTATTTTTCAAATTTTGCTGGGGAGGGGGTGTTAAAAGACTGCAGAGTTAGGTGGATGCATACCATAACATCATTTGCTGGAAAGCATTATCAGTTCAACACGAAGTGCATTTGTTTCGGGGCGTTTAATTCATGATAATGTTGTTATTGTCCATGAAATTATGCATTTTCTTAAGAATATATATGGCTATTAAATTAGATATGTCTAAAGCTTATGACCGAGTTGAATGAGATATATTGTGGCTGTTTTAGAGAGTCTGAGATTTGATTATAGATGGGTCAGACTCGTGCATGCTTGCATGAATACAGTGAGTTTTTTAGATTATTTTAAATGGGACTCCTCCTGGTATTTTTCAGGTATCAAGGGGCTTAAGGCAGGAGGATCCCTTATCCCCTTGACTTATTTTTGCTGAAGGCTTATTAGATTTATTGCATAAGGAAGTGGCGAGAGGTAACATTAGTGGTGTTAAAATTAGGTGGAGGGCTCCTGTTATTTCTCATTTTGTTTTTCACTGATGATTGCTTACTATTTTGTAAAGCCAATGAAGAGAAAATCTCTAAAATTAAACAAATTATTGCCTTATATGAGTTAGCCTCTGGCCAAATTGTGAATTTTGACAAGTCCAACCTCTTTTTTTAGTCGAAATACTCCATTGTCAATCGAGTTTTGTTGAGGGATTTACTTAATATCCTTAAAGAGTGGGGCCAAGAGAAGTATTTGGGTAGGGAGTTATTCAGTTTTATTGAACATAATATTGCAAAGAAAATAAGGGGATGGAAAGGAAATTTTTTTGTTGCCTAGCAGTAGAAAGGTGTTAAAAGCTATGCTTACCCTCTTTAGCAATATCTTACTTCAAGCTCCCAAAATTTTTTTATGACAGGTTGAAGAAACAATGGTTTCAGTTTTGGTGGGCTGTTTGGGAGGAAAAGTTTAAAACTCGTTGAATTAGTTGGGATTGTATGGTGAAACCTAAGTCATGCGGTGGGTTGGGTTTTCGGGATGTGGAGGCTTTTAACCTTACTCTTCTAGCTTATGTGGGGTGGAGATTTCAAGTGCAGAAGACTGATTTGTTGTTTGAAGTTTTGAAAGGAAAGTATTTTCCTTCCTCAGATTTTTTGAAAGCTGGGAAGGGGCATAATCCCTCTTGGGTTGAGGTAGGAAATGGGAAAAGTATTTTTTGTTGGGAGGATAATTGGATTCCTCAATCAAAAAATTTTAGGCCATCCACCGTTGCTGATTATTTTCAGGCTTTTCGAGTTTCAGATCTCATTGATGTTCGGACTAATCCTGGAAGCGGACTCTCATTTCTCAGGTGTTTTGCCCTTATGATGCTCAAAAAATTCTTCAACTTCTACTTAGTGTAGTGGAACAAGAAGATAAAATGGTATGGGGATATGATAAAAGGGGTATTTTCTTAAGCTCAGCTTATATAATAGCTTTGGAGCTTTGTAAAGGGCAGGAACAATGTAGCAGTGCTCAGATTGAAAGTAGTAGTGTTCAAATTTTGGAGAGCTATTGGAAAAAGCTATGGAAGGTTTAATTTTAGCCTAAGATTACTCATTTCCTTTGGAGTTGTTTGCATAATAAAATTGCAGTCTTTGAAATTTTGAAAAGAAAAAGATTGGTTGCGGATCATTTGTGTGAAGTTTGTGGCGTTGGTTTGAAAGTAAACTGTGATTTATATGCCTCTGCTTTCAAATTCGTCAACCCTTTATCGATCAATGATGTAAAATAAATTTCGAACTGTAGTTTGTTTGCTATTGAGAAAGGATGAAATTAAGCCGTTCTTGTTCAAATTTCAATTGTAGCTTGTTTGGGATTAGCTATATATATATATAGTTATACACACAAATGAATGGATGTGCATACTCGATTCCTATACATGTATATTAGATATAGAAAATGAATTATAAACCGAGTATCTAAACGTATGTGGGTAGGATTATTGAAAGGATCAACGATACAAGTATCATGAGAAGTTTCATCTATATTATATATTGTTTGTGCTTAGATCACAGAAGTTTCAATTCCTAGTTTCAGTCGCCCTGTTGAGAAATTTATGTGTTCTAATTAAATATTGTTTTTGTTGTAAATTAAATTGAAAAATCTATATATACACATGCATAAGACATATATAAATCTATTTATTAAACATAACTGTGAAAATCATTAATTATTTCATAATTGAGCTTGAACTGCTGTGGTTAATTATGTGCATTTTTTCTAGAGCGTTGGATTATTGAGTATTGGCAGACTACTACTATATAATGCTAGACTGGTGAAAATTACTTTTTCATTGACGACTAATGTGCACAAGGTCAAATAAGTTAAGAATAAATTTTTGATATCTATTTCATTTGAGAATAAAGATATATTCTCCAAATTCAAAAGATTTTTGAATTGGAGGATGTGATTAGGGTGTGGGCTATATCACTAATATTATGGTGATGTTATGTAATGGAGGTTGCACACTCCTTTCACATTTTTCTTATTTAGTGTGTCCTC